CATATTTGATTTCTCCAAGAGGAATGATGAACCAATGGAGTGAACAAAGTGGAAATGTGCTTATTGTGGGTCAGATTGATGTGTCATCATCCAACCATTTCAATCCGTAAGACTAATCTTTTAGTTCTTTTTTGTTTTCATACATCAATATTCTCCTCTATTTTGGTCTTATCATCATTAAGGTGTAAAACTTAAAATAATCATAATATTGGAGATCAAAATTGTGAAAAGGACTATTGCATTTAAGAGTTTAAACTAATAAATGACGCATTATTTGGTTTATATCTTTTAACCCAAGTTATCATCGTTCTCTTATCTATTTTTTCTCTAAGCAAAAGGAAAATAAATGAGATTTCAGAACAACTTATGGGTTGTATAATGGGGGTAAAGATCGCAATAGAGGGAGGTGGTGACGGGCAAGAATCTTGGGGGAGTCGGCATATTGGCCCCCGTTAATAGGACCCGTCAGCTTGAAGAAAGAAGCATGTACAATCATTCTTCGTTACGTATGAACCATCCACGTTGTCGGGCCCCATGTTTCCTTGTCGTCATGTTTGTTATATTTATTATGGGATACACTTTTATTAGAAACTTCTTCTCAAACTATGAGGTCTCTTCTTGGCGTCATCACCCTTATTTAAAAAAACTTTTATTGATATTTTTTTCGTTTATAAAAGATAATTTTGTTGACGTACAAAGTTCATCTTTTATCATCACCCCTATTTAAAAAAACTTTTATTGATATTTTTTTATTTGTAAAAGATAATTTTGTCGACGTACAAAGTTTCATCTTTTATCACCTGCGCCTTTATGGACACACGTCGACTACTCGGTGACTACTGTCCTCGTCCGTCACTAATCGTCTCCTCTACTGACAATCTCTTATTACCCTTGTCATTTTGACTCATAGCCACAAAGACAAATGTGATGGAGATACGGATAAAATAATTTTTTAATATTTTTTTTTAAAAAAAAGAGATGCCCATCAAAAATTTCTAAAAAATATATATATATTTTTTTTCCGAAAAGGTACCCTTTGTATCGTTCCATAGTTTCCTGTTTGGGGTCATCAGAAACTTCTCTCTAGCGGATCACGGGGCCCGCCTGCCAGCGATGGATGAGTGAACCCCGCTCCATCCGAGAGTGTTAAGTTTTGGGGCAGCAGGAAAAGTTCCATCTTGCACGAACGGGAACGGCGCCGTGTAACTTCGTCACCACCGATCCCAGGTGCCGCCTTCTCCAATACCCAACCGCCATGTGGTCCCCATTCCTACTCTTTATTCCCAAATCACCCTCCTTTAGAACCCTTATTTACGCATCGCGGCAGCCGTCCCTTCTTCTTTTGTCTATCACAGCCCATCTGGGTATTAAAGTCATTTAGTTATATAGAGGAGATACGCTGACCTGGTGCAGGCGGTAACCCAGTCAGGCTTCTCTTCTCCTCCCCCTTCCTTCCTTCGGCACTATCTTCTCCCGAAGAAGAAGAAGAAGAGGGGTTGAGAGGCCAACAACTCTTCATTTGCTTCTTCCTCTCGGCCAATAATGCTCTCTGCACGTGGAAGAGCACCGCTTCTCCGGAGACCCAACAGCCTCAACGACGCCTCTCCTCCCTCTGCCGCCGTCCTTCCTCTTCGTCCCCACCTGAGCTAATGCAATATCACTCCAAATAGGAAGAGACACGGAGGGGAGGGGAGGCGATGGAGAGGGCACCGCAGCAGTCGTCCGACTCCATTCTGGCCACCTTCTCGGTGGACCTGTTGATCCAGATCCTCGACCGCGTCGCCGACTCCCGCGACCGCAAGTCATGGCGCCAAGTCTGCCGCGGCTTCCTCCACGCGGAGGCGCTCCGCCGCCTTTCACTCCGCGTCCTCCGCCTCGAGGCCCTCCAGGGGCTCCTCCGCCGATACGCCGCCTGCCTCGAGCGCCTCGACCTCTCCGCCTGCCCGTCTCTCGACGACCACGCTCTGGCCGCTGCCCTTGCCTCCGGGGCGGGCCTCTGGCGGCTCAGGTCCATCAACCTCAGCCGCGCCAGCGGGGTCGGGTGGCGGGGGCTGGCGGCGCTCGCGAAGGCGTGCCCCCACCTGGAGGCCGTGGACCTGTCGCACTGCGTCGGGGTCGGGGACCGGGAAGCCGCCTCTCTGGCCGCGGCCGCGGGGCTGAGGGACCTATGGCTGGATAAGTGCCTCGGGTTGACGGACGTTGGGCTCGCCAAGGTGGCGGTGGGGTGCCCCGCGCTGGAGATGCTCGGGATCAAGTGGTGCCTGGAGATCTCGGACATTGGGATCGAGCTTCTCGCCAAGAAGTGCCAAAATCTTAGAGTTTTAGACATCTCTTATCTCAAGGTGAAGCCCCAAGTCTTTGTCCTCCTCCTTGGATCTTTGGGAAACTGTGGCGAATGCAATTGTGTACAATGATCCGATCCGCATTTATTCTGTTCTCTTTTGTTTCTCCTCCGAGTTTTTGGGCTTCTAGTGGTACCAGCTGTTGAGACGACATTATATGTTAACTAGGAAGCAGTGAAGTTGACAGAACTATTGATCTGAGCGCTAAAATCTCAATTTTTGCTGTTGATCTTAGGAATCTTTGTATCTAATGGAGCTCTTACCTGCTGTGACTTCTTCTTTCTCCTTTTCAGATAACAAATAGATCACTTCAATTTGTCTCCTCCCTTCGAAAGCTGGAAGATCTGAGCATGGTAGGATGCTCCCATATAAATGATGAAGGATTACAATTTCTCAACAATGGGAGCAACTCATTGCAGGTAAATCTTGGTACATCTTTTCGCCGTTTTGCTTTTTCTTCGCTGTTTATCACAAAAGCATCAGTTGCATGTCAAAATAGCCGCAGGATTCTACGGCACAAGAGGAAAATAATATAGACCAGAATTTGAAAATCCTTCTCATATTCGTTGGCGTTTTCAAATAATCTCCCAACAAATGCCATTCGTTAGAGAGATGCACAACAGTTAAATCCTGATATATGTAGCAATGCCACTGCAGATTAGCAAATCATGTGGAGAATTAAGGGGGCAGTTATTGATTAATGCGTATGCTTGTTTGCAGACTGTTGATGTTTCTCGGTGTGAGAATGTGACTTCTAGTGGCTTAATCTCAGTAATTGAAGGGCACAAGTACCTGCAAGACCTTAATATTGGGGACTGTTTTCCCGTAAGGCTTTGACATTGCGGCACCCGTTGTGAGCTTCTTTTTCCTTTTTTTTCTCCCACCATTGATGTAATGTTGGATTTTGCAGGAGCTGGCACCACTCTTTCTTTCCAAGTTGAATTATTTGAGGGATAGCTTGACCGTGCTTAAACTTGATGGCTTTCAAGTTTTTGCTCCAAGCCTTAAGATAATTGGCCTCAACTGCAGGAATTTGGTGGAGATTGGGCTTAGTAAATGTAAGTGGGTGACTGATGAAGGGGTCTCCGAGCTTGTAGCTGGCTGTGTCAATCTAACGACCATCGATCTAACATGCTGCCACCTGCTAACCAACAAAGCCCTTGTGGCTATAGGAGATAAATGTAAAAATCTTACGTGTCTCCAATTAGAATCCTGCAAATTAATAACTGACAATGGCCTTGATTGTATTGGGACCTGTTGCTCCAATCTTGAAGAAATAGATCTCACTGACTGTACCATGACCAATGCTGGTAAGACCATTATTCTCATGAATTTTCGAAAACTTTTGTGCTAAAAGTGGCATCATGTTCACTTGAAATCTATGCTTTGCAGCAATGAAGTATTTATCCAGGTGTTCAGAGCTGACTGTCTTGAAATTAGGCCTTTGTGACAAAGTTTCTGACGAAGGTCTTGTTCACATTGCATCCAATTGCAAAAAGCTTCGCGTCCTTGACCTTTATCGGTATGTTTACTTTGTTGTGTACTTGAGCATTTTCTTTTAGGTTTTGCAAATCTGAAGGAAATCACAAATCCAATGGCCTTCACAGCTGCTTTGAGGTCACTGATGATGGATTGGCTGCCATAGCTACTGGCTGCAAGAGAATAAAGAACCTGAACCTTTGCTACTGCACACGGATCACTGACCTAGGACTGAAGCATCTAAGTTGTTTGGAGGACCTGCATGATCTTGAACTGAGGGGTGTACATTGCGTTACAAGTTTAGGAATAACTGCTATTGCAAATGGTTGCCAGCACCTTACTGAACTGGATTTGAAGCACTGCCATCTGGTAGATGATGCTGGTTTATTTGCTCTTGGGCAATATACTAAAAATCTCAGACAGGTCAGTGACTTGCCATCTGAAATTCTTCTCTTATTGCTTGATATCAAGAAACTCTGGAAATGATCTGATGAAAAATAAGAGAAAAAGATATGGAATCTGATTCAGTTTCTTTTGTAGGCAAATCTATCGTACTGCCAAGTTTCAAGCATGGGCCTGTGCAACCTGCTTGGCTCTTTGAAGTGCCTGCAGGATGTAAAGCTGGTGCATCTGACTCAAGTGCCAGTTGAGGGGTTTGAGTCTGCACTGAGAGCTTCTGGTGGAAGGTTAAAGAAGCTGAAGCTACTTACTGGGTTGAGGCATCTGCTTTCCCCAGGACTAATTCAGATGTTGCAGGCTAGGGGGTGCCGAATTCGATGGGTTGATAAGCCTCTGAACCTTGTTCCATAGGCAAAATCCTGCATTATTTTCTTTTTCTTAGGCTTTGATGATCTAGTTGAAAAACAAATGTTTTTCATATGCCTATTAACACATCTTGCTTGCTAACATTCCCCAGTTGATGCCTCCTTTGCATCAAAGTAGCCTGTGTTGGAACATTGTAAAAGACTTGCTATTTTTGAAGGGGGTGCACTCATTAACATTGAAATTTTGGAGGAGATCAATTAGCATCAAATGGGGTATTTGGCAAGCAAATTATTTTTGCCAAAGGTGTTGTCATGAATCGTTCTAACTGATACAATTAATTCATGCTACTTGGTAACTGCATAGCTGACCAATGGTAGTAGAGGTTGAGATATCTAACCTTTTTCCGCGTCACATCCGGTAGCTTCATCTTGTCCAATTGCTCCTCTAAATTTGAAGTTTGTTCTGCTAAACCCGTTGAAACAAGCCTGAGGAGTTGGCCCTGACAAACAAATGCATAATTAGCACAATTAATTATGGTATACTTTTTGTGTTAGCTTTTGAGCTAGGTATACAATGTGCAACTCTCGCATATCAGAATCTAGCAGAATTAGCACAGTCAAATCATTGACAAGAATCTAGCAAACACAATAGGAATGTTCAGAGATCAACTTTTGGCTTGTCCTATTGCACGCATTATCATTTTCACAGGTCCTTATCAGCAGCCATAAAGATAAAAGAGTCGAACTGCGACCAAAAGCATAATTTGGATCGGCCACGTCCATAGACACGGGCATCAATGAGAGAATTTATCGCATTCGAGTATGGCTAGTACTGCCATGACGATTGATCTTAAGTGCCTCTTGAGACTTGTGTGTCTCCAAGGCCATGACACTATCCGCACTGCCGGACGATAACATTCTGTGATACTTCTGTTGATGGAGTTTGAGTGAGCTGCTGCTCAGGCCTGCATTCTCCTTACAGATGGGGCAAACCTTCATCATAGGTTTCCTTTGTTGCCATTCCATCGATGTCTTCCCATGCAGTTGCTCGTCTAGATCCAGAAGAGTCTTAGCAAAGCCATCATTTGGCTGGGCTCGACGATGCGCCTTTTTAAGCATGTTCCACGCTTCTAATAGAGTGAGGCCCCTGGAGCAATGGATTTTATTACAATTTACTCTATTGAATATGGCTAATTCAAGTAGAAGAGAGAGAGAGAGAGATAAGAATGCCTGAGTTGGTTCCTTACTTTCTTAGCATTAGATAAGCAAGCACAACAGTGGCACTGCGACTTTTTCCTTCAAAACAATGAACCAATATTTTACCTCCCAAACGCTCAACATAATCAATGAAGTCAGAAGCCTCTTCGAAGAGATTGCCGATATCTTCATCATCATTATCACATACCTGCACCCAAGAAACACTTGCCAGCCTCTTTCATATGTGAATCAACGATGGTAGAATTTTTTTTTATTTTTTATTTTGGAGAGTTGAAAAGAGAAGAAAAATATTTACATGGTGGGAAATGCAATTAGAAAAGACTAGCGGGAAGCATTTTAGGAGTAATCAAATCTTGCAATATCAACATCTCCGGTGAGTAAATTCTAGGGAGCTTTTATTCAAGTCTTCTCAAGTTACGGGGGAAGGATAACAGCCTCTAGAGATTCATCCTTCAGTTTGTGATGCTGGTGAGTTAATGTGCTCCAACTCAGCATGAATAGAAAGAGATGAACTTTAGATCAACAAAGGCAGCAGAAAACATGTCACAAGATAAGTGAGCTTTACTCTAATGAAGTATAGAATTACTCGATTTTTCTTATTTCTGTGTTCTCTCTACTCCATGGCAAATGTTATGGAGAAAAATCAATTTGATCCATGAGAAGCGGCAGACTACTAGCATACCCATGACCCTATAATATAGAAAATTCATGGGGTAATTATAAAGCCAGACAATCTTAAATTCTCAATGCATTCTGAATCTTAGATGGCAAAACAGTATGCTCATAGTACTTGTCCGTTCCTACATAGTAGCATTTGAATAAATAGCAGGTCTAACTTTCTGTATTCATGTTGGAAATGGAAATCTTCATTAATCAGATTCAGTCTATTTTGACATTATATAATTTGGTTTTCAAGAAAATTCTAAAAATGATAGATGTGATTGTTCCTTTTGGATTGTGGCAAATATTTACTTCAGCAAACCGAGTAACTAATATTCCATTGAACAGAGGGAAAAAAAGAAAAGTTTGCTTACAGAGAAGTTTCGGTACTCAAAGAGGTCGGGATTTTGAGAATCTGATTGTCCGATTTCATTTGCACACAAGCACAATATATGAGTGATACCCAGGTGCTGAAGGGTGTACATGGATTTTGCAGCCAGGGCTCCACCAATATAAAGATACTCTGTAATAGGAGAAGGCCGCTCTGTACTAGCTGCATCAGAAATAAGTGATATTCTCTCAAGGATATGCTCAAGTCGGACCTGAAAAAGGAATAAGACTTTAGATTTTGTCAGTTGAACTGGACATGAAATTTATGTTACCTTCAGCTCATAAGCATCAACGGCAATGTTATTATCGTTTCCCTCAAAGAAGCCTGTATTGAAATTGTTTTCTTGGCACAGTCTCACAACATCTGATTTTAGCATTTCATTCCACTGTTCCAACTCCTTGCTCAACTCAGCATCTACCTATCACAGGCAGTATGTTAGTAGAAATTGGAGACAGCAGCAAAGAACTGGCAATCTAAGAGCCAAACAACAAGGCAGTAGCAAATAACGTACTTTACACAAAACTTTTAACAGCAACAAAGATTGAATAAAATAGAAACAGGGAGTTTCCCTAGAAGTAGATTTTGTCATTCGATAAGATCTTTTTAAATGATGCAGACTTCATCAGACTGTTATACCCTCCCCCCGGTATTTTCAACCTCTCATGAAACATCAATCCGATTAACTTAAATGCCTTTCAACAATAGTTCCATGCTCAAAATAACACAACCGAATATCTTATACCAAATGCAAAGGAACTTCTAACCTTAGTACACTTGTTAAAATCACGAAGCTTCATTGTCAAGCGCAGACTCCGGGGAGCTTCTCCACCTCCTTTGGAACACCTACCATTCCAATTATCTCGTGAAACAGGAGAAACTATATCAATGCTATCTCGGAATCCTGAAGATTTTTGTGAACATCTCCGAGATTCAGGATCGCTAGAATCTGCATGTGTCTCATGGGCACCATGTTCCTTACATGCCTGAAAGTGGGCATTGAAGCTGCAGCAAGAAGAATTTGATGGTGACTCTGAAGCCCCAGAATCATCCTTGTCAGACTCGCTAAAGCATTTATTTATGATGGTCAGTAACACCCGAAAGAGACCCTCTAGTTTCTGGTACAGTGTGAGAAGAAATATATGGAAGCTTTGGAGGTCCCTAAGAGCAGCACGAAATCCTTGACAGAATGCATGAACAACAGCTACCATATCGAACTCCGGCAAAGAAGAATCAATTTGTGCATCAGTGTGTTCAGGTCCAGGGAACCCCAGCTTCCCAAAAGACACTTCATAGAGCAAGTTAGAAGAAAACTCATAATTATTGATAATAAGCTCAACCACCCTGGGATAGCTTTCTAGATCTCTTGCCCGTTTACCTGCAGGGGGTCTGCGAGGAACCAGAGAGTCGATGGCCACAATATGAAAATTAGATGTTTTTCCATATTCTGTCGCTTGATTATTAATGGATCTGTCAGTGAACTCGATGCAATCATCAGAATCCTCTGCTGTAAGCTCGGGGCCTTGAGAACTTAGTCCACCATTTATAGAGGATGCCCGTCTCTCTTTCGCTCTCTCTTTCCTGAGACTCTTCACTATCCGTGGTTTGTTTCTTCTACAGTCATAAGATTCATCGAGTGCATCCATGTTTGCAGAGGCTACTTTGATTGAAAACAGCAGATTGGCTTGGTTGCCACGCCACCCAAGTTGGGGACAAGGAAGTCTATCCTCATTTCTAAGCACAAGGTCCAACATCAAGACCCTGCCTAGTGCTGCAGCAGTATTTTCAGCAGCTATTCTTGAATCAAATGCGATCGAATTTTCCACCAGAGGCGAGCCATGACAATAACTGCCACGAGCAGATATTTCAAAAAAGAAATTACTGAGATCTGGATTCTAATATGAATGACTAAGAGATGTTCGATAAGCTTACTTCATTAGGAGAAGGCATCGACTCAATTCGAGGGCTTCTAACAACTCTGAGCACGTAACTGCACCCACTTCATCTCCACTATCAACAGTCATATCTCGTGCTTTTTCTGTAGCATCCTTAATCAGTTGCCACTCCGTGCTAGAGTTATGGATCACCCTCGCCTTTTAACAAAGAGATCGAAAAGAAATAATGTGATATAACCAAGTAAACAAGATGATGTAAATGACAGAAAGAAAAGGTGCCCACTTGAGGTGTCTTCACTCCAAGCAATCTTGCAAATTCGTAACCCAGGCGTTCTGATTGTGTGGCCATCCTCGAGGGTGCAATTTTAATGACTGCTGCTGCTTCTTTTGGTAAAAGATCATCATCGTTTATTGTATTAAACAATGCAAAGAAAACTACTCCACCAGAATTTACAGTTACCTGTATTCCCAGCCAAGTTAAAGCAAAAAATCACTCGATAAAAAAAGCATTTGAATTAAAAGTAACATGGCAAGTGGCAATCTGATATATTGAATTGAATAATAAGCACTCAGCGCAGAAGAACTTCTTAAGAAGCTGTTCCATTAAAAATGATGGTCTCACAAGCTAACTTCTACTAGAGATTAGGTAGCATTTGATAAAGATAGCAAGTTACATGCTAGACACATTTCAAGGAGGTTACTGTCAATGAAGCAAACAACAAAAATGTTGCCTAGATAACAATTATAATTGAAAGGACTTGCAGAAAAGTAAAGAAAGCAATGTCCATGACAAAATAGACATAGCAACCGCACAACCTAGTAGAAAAAGCCTATGCAAACAAGATTTCTTCCTAGAATTATGAACGTCCTGTTCTTCACTCTATATTTTCTTAAATCACTTTTGCTACTTGCCATATCACTATCTCCAAAAAACTGAATATTGAAGGATACTTTTCTAGTACATAACCTAACAGTCAAAATAACTTTCGCAAAGTAAACTCTTAAAAGTTTTCCCCTTTAGTTTTTTGAATACCAGTCATCCACCTGTTGAAAACTTACTAGTCATTCCTAATAACACCGAAGGTCTTGCAAATAACAAACCTCTAGAGCTTTGTTCAGCTCATCTTCAGAATGTTCATTGCTGCTCGTGTATTTTGTGTGGTGCAGGGAAAATAGTGTGTCCCAAGATATGTCACTTGCTTCAACATCTAAAGTAGCAGCATTTCCAAGCTTATCCCGCAAACTAACTTCTGGCACTTGGTCTGGAGACTGTGATTTAGTTGCACTACCATCAGGTTTGTCCCAATCTGGTACTTCTGTCCTGTAAAAAGGAAGAAGCTTACAAAAGATCCCATCTTTTTTAATTAAGAATGAAAATGCATTTGCCCAAAGTGGATATAATCTCTGGATTATAGCAACTTTATTCATGAGAGCTTAGATGTTCATGATGTTCATCACATAAAATGATAGTTCTATTCATAACTTCAATTTTTTCACAGAAGCTTTGATGTTCCATCAGCATTCACCAACACTACTGGCTAACCTATCCTTTTGAAGAAAACCTATATTTGACCATTAAATTATTAAAAAAAGGCAGGAAAATTCAAGATGCATAATTGGCATGAAATTGTGACATCAAATGGTAAAACCAAAGTAGTTAAAAATGAGAAAAAAGAGTCCCATTGTGTGCATATACTGGTTTTCAGATGTCTTCCAAGTCTAAACACCAGCATTGAAACAGGTCAATTTGCAATGAGATTAGCTTCCACAGGACCATTATCCATCAATTCACAGTATAAGAAATATAGTAAAAAGAACCTCCTCCAGCCCAAGAAATTTCTTAAAATAAAGCGTTCTCATTTTTTCCCCTCCCACTTTAGATGGTGAGATATTACCGTATATCTTCAAGTACTAGGCAACTCTTCTGAGCATCTACTGGTAAAGAATCAGGAGGAAGAAATAAATTGCAAAGATAAGACATTGACAAAATGATGAAAATAAAGGCTAAAATCCATAGTATCCAACTTTGCATACCCGCAGCGAGGGGATGGAATCAAGGCTGAGGTCTTGTGGGGCATAGCATCACGCAAAGGCAATCCATGAAGGTTTCCTTGGGACAGGCACTTGCCGCTGCGTCTGCGGATCGATGCCACCCATTCCTCAAATTCGAGCCCCATTCCAGGCCCCGCCGAGTCTTCCAGCTGCAACCAAAAAATTTTCTAAAGACTCTAGCATGAAATCAACAAAAAATAAACAAATAAAGAGAAAGGAAAAAAACATGCACAGGAAGATAATGGGTTTTTCCTCTTCCTTTAGGCTGATGGTGTGCCAAAAAAAAAAAGGTAAGAAAATACATGAAAATGAGGACCTTGTGGGCAATTGGCTTTGGTTCCTTATGTGCCATTGAAAAGAAAAGAGAGATTTCCCCCTATTGTTATTCTTATTCTCTTTCATTCTTTGTTTTGTGAGAACGTTGTGGAAAAGGGCAATGGTCGACCCTAATTCAAGGTTAGTGAAAAGAAAGGTTACCCGCTTTTGGAACAATCCTCGAGGACAGGAGATGAGGTGGAGACAACGAGGTCTCGAGAGGCGTTATAAGCCCTTAATATCGGAATCCACTCACTTGGAACCGTTGTGATCTACTACTAGCCATCCGCTGTCCACGAGTGTTCGGGAATCCTCGCCGCCCTGCGAACGTCTCCAGGCACAGCGGATACTGCAACCTCTCGGGAAGGCAACCGAGGGATCGAAGGCGCAGCAGCAGTCCTGTTTACAGAAGTAATCCTCTGAAAAATGAAGTTCAAGATCCATAAATTCTTCGATTACATCAATCAAATGTGACTCGTCATCATATACTAGCGGTGGTGGAGACAAACGAGTCGAACAATTTTTTTCTTCATATGCTCCTCGCTTATCGGACATTCTCGGACTAGAGATTGATCCACAGTTACCATAAAAATTTGTAGCATAAACATAGTGCATCGGCAATGTTAGGGTACAGAGATTGCGATGGCCCCATGAACTACTGTAGGAGACGCAGGGCTGAGACGCTAACCAGTGGAACCTTTGTGACTGACAGCATAATTGAGAAAGCTAGACGCAGAGTTCGGAAAGAAACTGACAGAGCTTCAATAGCAGAATCTGCCATAGCATGCAAAGGTCAAGGGAGCTCCGAATCAATCGGCGATCGAGGAAGATCTTGGTACTAATCCCTCCATGAAACTGAATCGATCGAGAGGGCGACGAAGATCCACCTTGCCAAGGGAAAAGGCATAGGAGAGCGTATTTAATTTCTTGATCTGGGAATAGAATACGGGAGTCTACCTGCACCGGCGAGGCGGTCGCCGGCGTTATTGATCAGGATCTGGAAATGGGGCGAGGTAACTAACTCCCCATGGCGAGGCGACAAGAAGAGCCCCCATTTTGGCGGGCGCGATGTTGGGGGGTTTATATAGGGAGAGGGGGAAAGCGTTGAATACTGCTGCCGTGGACGGCTTACAAAAATTCAATTCGAACAGAATAAAATTAAGATCATAAAGCTGATGAATATGATGTTTTTATGGTTTATAAAATCACGAAGGCAATATGATGTTTGATATTCTTAATATACTTTATATTTTGACAAACAATATTTCCGGTGATCAGCTAACCCTTCTTTTTTTTTAATGCTTCAATTAAAAAAATAATTTTGAAGAAAAAATCATAGTTAATGATTGTTGTGTAGTTTTGAATTCTCACTTGTGATAATTTCTCTTCTGAGATCTAATGTGTGTATTACGCTGACAAAATTTTATATAAACAAAATAAATCTATCTCAAGAGCATCTGACAATAAAAATAATAAAATAAATTAAAATTAAAAATATTTTGAATGATGCATTAAAAATTAAAAATAAATCGATCCAAGATTAATATCTTTGATAGGAGTATTATCTTACAGGAGCATGATAACAGATAAGATTTCTCTAACTATATTAGGAAATCTCTCTATTATGTTGATAGAAATCATCTATTCTGTTGAAGAAAATCCTATAAATAGGAAACGGACATGTTAATACATTCAAACTTTTTCACTTCTTCAATAAAACTTTTTCACGGCTAGCATACTATAGCACTGGGAAAAAGATGCAAACGACGAAAAACCATAGCGGTGATTCATAAAGATTTCAGAAAACAGAAAGAAAATGTTCAGAGATATCATTCGATGACAAAAGATCAACCACTTGCATCTCCTGAAAAGGGAGTCACATATCAATCTCACATAGATGGAAGTGGAAACAACAAATATTAATCCACACCAACTGATTTCAACTTACTATCAGCAAATGGAGGGGCCAATGCCGGCCTCCTTATACAAAGCTAATGGTGGTCATCAATCAGGTGGCAGATTAAACCACATCGCTCAACACCAAAATGATACACATTCATTGCTTTAAACCATCACAAAATTGGTTTCTTCAATCAAAACCTCCAGCAAGAGAGCCATTTACACTTCTTCGATAATATTCAGAGCCATTTAAACTTATCACAAATCCAAGGTTCTGTGATGAATGTAGCCGTGCAACCCTTCCCCATACCTTCAGATCGTGCCAATGGAAACAGTCATTGAAAAAACCAATCACAAAGAATTGTGCCAGCAGAAATTGTTCTTGGAGAAAACTAATCACAAAGAATTATCAACCTAAAATCCATGTAGATCATTTCATTTAAACACATATATCTAGTTTTGGGTATGAGCTCTGTTTCATAGAGATCAAGACACCAAACCAAAAGCAATGTACTACATGCATCAAATTGTTCTTTCAGTTGTCTTATATAGCCAATGTATCCTCGATCTGCAACACTTAGAGAATGACGAACTGGTTAATCAATCAGTGCAGCAACCCTGAAAGCCCATTATATTTTTTTAACCAAATTATTTCCATTACATTAAACTATGTATAAGATGCTCCAAGACAAACTCAAACTTGAGACCTATCAAATTGCAACAATGTGCTAACCACTATGGGAATCCATTGTTGCAACTAATGAGAAATGTGATCATTTTATCCATGGTTCGTCGTATCGGTCCGAACCGGTGTACCGACTAGCTATCAGTATCGAGTTGTATTGAACCATATTAAGCATACCGACATATAATACATGGGGATGTACCAATGTACCACCTATACCGGTCTCCTATCGGATTGGTACATTGTCGTATGATGAATATTGATTTTATCAACATTTTGTTAGATCAATCCAATTGATTCCTTGGCATAATAAAAGTATCAGCAAATTAGAGCCACCAAAGGATTGCTGCTAATGAGAACTAGTAAATTTTTTTGTCAACTCACCTGCACAAACAAATAGAAATGCTCATCACTGGCAGTTTGAGGGTCTTTTGAAAAATCTGGTTTGGCAACAGATGCTGTGATCGATACATGGCCCTCCTTTGCAAACTTAACAGCATTGCCAGCAACATTTAGTATGGTTTGCATAAGCCGTTTTTCGTCACCAATGACACATGATGGCAAGTCTGGTGCCAATGTCAGAGAGAAGAGAGGTTCTTTACAGCAGCTATTGGTTTCATCAAATTAGTAACCTGCAAATTAATGTGACAATTTTCATCAACTATAGAAGAATAACCATGAAATTTGAAATAATATTAGAGAAGGAAAACACATATACTGACCTCTCTAAAAATGGTATGAAGCTTGAAAGCTGCAATCTCTAACTCAAAGCTCCCATGATGCAAAACCTCATTGATAACTGCTGCTAGTAGATTACTACAACTTAACATGGTTTCTACCATCGACTGTTGCTCAGGAGTTAACTCAGTTTCCAGAAGCAGAGATGAAAGAGCAATTGTTGCATGAATCGAAGTCCACATTTCATGGGTCATGACAGTTTGAAAATCATTGCGAGCATTAATCGCTGTTTCAGCCTCCTGACAAGCTGAATCAAGAGCAACATTTTGCTCTAAAAGTAAGTCACATGCCCGCATCGACTCTTCCAAAATGGCAGCATGTGAAAGTGCAACTGCTACCTGGATGGTCACGAAATCCAAAAGGAAATAAGGAAATACAGCTCAATATAAACACCAACAATATGAAGGCATTGGGATTGGAAGAGAATTTGACAACACAAGTTATACCAAAATTAATCAGAAGCCATAAAATCACATTCCAAAATGGTGCTAGATCATTTCAGGAACATCACATTAGCTCACGGGATCATTTCAGTCGGCCATGCAAGTCACCACTATAACTCACAGTGACAGTTGACACTGCCAACAAGCCATATAGAGTGGCTTCATACAGTCCAGAGAAGGGATAAAACTGTTATGCATGATTGTTAGTAAAATACACCAGTTGCTACAGATAATTAACTTCTCTCTTTCAAAACACATCAAGATTTTTAAGCTATCAGTCAATATGGGAGTTTCATTGTTTCTTTTAGGCTTAAAAAGTAACTAAACTAGGCTTTAATATCAAGTACATTTTTTAAGATCTTTTAAGAAATGTCATAGAATTAATTACCACTATCTGCTAGTATTATTGCTTTTGCTTCGGAGCACATATCACGGATATATGAAAAAGGAATAAATTTGCTCAGAGCAAATTCAGATACCACAAGACATAAACAATGACAGATGCCAACATGAACAGAAAACAAAACTAGCAACCTTCGTAACTGCATTGCAAAACTTAGAAACACCACATCTCTGAAAATTCACCTGGAGTTCATTCAAAGAATGGGATATCTATAGAAACATTTTCATAATTTGTAAAATCTAAATGAAGATAAGAAAAAGCATAGAAAGTGTATGCTAGAAGAAAATAGTTACCTGGTCAGCAACTGCCTCAACAAGCTCCATCTCATGTACATGCCATTTTCTCGCGCTCATTAGAACCATAATAGCATAGCTTTTTAGAGAAAGCTCAGGCCAATAATTTACTGGGAAATTTGAAAGATGTAAGAGTGGAACTCGGACAGCAACAACTTCTGGCGCCACATATCTTCCGGTTAGATGTTGAGTCCTTGCTAATGGACTCGTATGTGGAATTATTATTGCACCATCATTACTGAGGACTTGATTGATGACAGGAAGGTCGGTGCACACAACAGATCCAAGGGGCATTTGGTGGTGCAAAGTATGTGAAAGTTGAAGATTAATCCCGTTCCTTGATGGCATCCAAAATGCACATTCTTCTAAATCCAATGTCCTCCCTAGTTCAATAAATGTAGTCTTCAATATTGTGTGCCTGTCAAGCGTGCTTCTGATTTCATGTGTAAGCATCCTGACATGACGCTCTGTTTCTTCTTGGGCTCGTAAAACACCAATCTCCCTGTCAAGTTCCTCAGCTTTATTCTTCAGAAACAATTCCCTTGTCTTCACACTTAACAATTCAGGAATTATGTGAACAAGCATCAAAGCCGTTGCACATGATACCACAGCCGTTGAAATTTTTGCAACAGTCATTAGCAATGCAACTGTTCGTGAATACATGGTGAAAGTCCGCAGACTTATCATATGTGTTGACCCACAAAGAACAATGAAGGCGCCAAACTGTATCAACAGCCATCTGTACGGGAAGAACGAAGACTTCTTCACAAAATAAATGAGCTCAAGTGGAATGGAGAAATAGGCAAAGGCTATTAAGAAGTCTGATGTGTACTGATACTTTACTAGGAGTTCGTCAGCATGCCACTGCGGCTCGATGCAGTCACACCACTCCATCTCGGAGCAACTACAGATACCAGAATACAACTACATTATTCTGAAACATCAGAACAAAGCTGAGATTCCGAATTCAAAGTGCAAAATAGCAAAATTAAAATCTACCAAAGAACAAGCAAGACCGAGATAACAAATAGGTAGATAAGAACAAGGAATTCGCTAAAAGTGACCTATATGCGAACTCTCTCGGACTCCTAAACCATGCCAAACACAAGTTGCTTACTAAACTACGAAAGATAAAAAAAATTGATTTTCTTTTCACTTCTCTTTTTTGAGGGACACGTTATTATCAAATTGCAATTCCACTACAAACAGCATATTCTACTGATTTCGATAGAACCACCCGAGTGAAGCACAGACCTCAACTTACAGAAGACAATGACCTAAAAAATGGATTTTCCCCCTTTTTTGCGCTCGTCTCAACTTTCTTTCCTCACATTCCAATATAGCCCGAGAACCAAATCGATCACCAGAAAATACGGATTTCGATCAGAATCGGACAACTTTCGCGATTGATACCTGAAGCCGCGCACAAAAGAAAGCGTCGCTCGGGAAATGAAAGGCAACCACGAATCGTCGTAGCCTCCGGCAGGAGGGAAGACGGAGGAGAACAAGAGGGAAACAAGCCTCTCCCGATGGTCTGAGAGCCACGCTCTCAATCGCCGCTGCTATTTAAC